GCGGTGCGTCAGCGGTCCTTCGCGGTGAGCGCGCGGCTTCTGGACGGGGGCCGCTCTCCGTGGCTGCCTCAAGCGGCTTGGGGCCTCCGAGGTCCCACAGCCGAGCGGTGGCGCACCGTGCGATGAGGTCCTTTTGGGGACTTCGAGGTCACCGCACGTCACCAGCCTCGATCTCATCCCTTCAGTGGGGGCGCGCATCAGCAACCCGTATGCTTTTCGCCGGGGCATCATGGGTTGCTTCGCTCCGCGCGCTGCGCGGTGACTTCCCGCGGCCGTCAAAGAAGCTGCTCCATTTAGGATACTCGGGCTTTTCCCTCAGGTGCACCGCGCGCGCGTGTTTTTAGGGCTGGGTTTCTTGCGAGGGGTTCTTGCGGCCGCGCCCGCACAGTAAGTCTGGTTAGCCTACAGGCGACTACAATCGTGGGAGCATGCCCTCAGAAGCTGAGGGAATCCTCCAGATCGGTGTCGAGATGAGGTGGTGTTAGTCATAGGGATGTGGATCTGTTTCAGATTGGTAAGCAAGGGCGCCCTCGAGGGCGCGAAGTTATTCGCGCTTCGCGCTTCGCGGTTCGGCTCCGATTCCTCCTCGTCCTCCTCCTCTCCCCTGGGAGGCGGCGCGAGAGGGCGAAGTTATTCGCACTTCGCGCTTCGCGCAGCGCGAAGCGCGAAGTTGGGAGCCCTTAGTAAGCACGGTCTGCCACCAGGGCCCCCAAGTGAGCGACGCAAAACAACAGGGTCGTCTGCGCTGACGTTGGCGCGCAAGCTGCCCGCGTAAGGTCGCGCGTCAGCGCCCTCGTCTCCAATGCAGCGTGCCTCGCTCGCAGCCCGCGTAAGCCGCGGCGTAAGGTCGCTACGCCATCTCGCGCCAGAACCGTTTTGGCTCGTCGCTGAAGTGTCGGGTCGACGCGGCGGCGACAGCGGCGCGGGCGGTCAGAGTGGAACGCCGCCAGCGGCCCATACTCAGCCAACTTGGAACGTCCTGGCGCTCGGACAATCGTCTTCATCGTTCAAGGCTGAGCGGTCCACGCGGTGTCAAGAGCCAACGCCGGGATACACCATGACGGCATTATGTTTCTTGTGCCAGAGAGAGAGAGAGAGAGAGAGAGAGAGAGAGAAAAAAAAAGAGAGAGAGAGAGAGAGAGGGAGATACAGGGGGGGGGACAAGCAACAGACAGGGCGAGGAGCAGGGTCCGAAGGTGGCCTTAAAGGGAGGCGGGCTCCCTCCCCGTGCCTGCCGTCTCTGGGACGCCCCGGTGGCCGGCTGGGCGGGCGAGCCCCCCCCACCCCGGTGCTCTGCCCTGCGCCTGCGGCAGGGCTCGAGCTCTGATGGAGGGGGAGTGCCACTGCCGGGGGGGTCCGCAAACACGGGCGATGTTTGTAATATTCGTGGGCGGCAAAGAGGGGAGTGATGACTAGGGGGGGGGGATATCATGGCGGGGGCCATGATATCTCCCCAGATTTCATGGCGCCTCTTCTTGTTCCATTACGTCCCTGGCGCCCCCGCTGGGCCGCGCAAATGCCGCCGGTCATGATTTGCACCCCCCCCTCTTGGACTCCCCCCTCTTGGCCGATCCCGAAATATTGTTTCTACGTTTGCATCTGTTCTGAGTATCTTTAGCTTTCCGTTCAAAGCCCGCCTGTAGGGGGGCATGCCCGACCTGAAGGTACCTGAATGGGGGGTGACGGAAGGCGCCCTAGAAGGGCCCTCTAGGACCCCGTTTGGAGCCAACAGGGAGGTTCAAAAGAGGCCCAACAAAGTCAGGCGTTCGCAAACATGGATCAAGGGGGCGTGGATTAGCGACGGGTCCCGTTTCCATGGGAAGTCGCGGATCTCCGCCTCCGGGCGAGGCGGCACCGGCCGCATTGTGGGGGAGGGCGCCGAAGCAATGGATCGCTGATCCATGCTTACGCGCCCCCGACGATCGGCGCGTCGCTCCGCCAATTCTGACCCACCACGCTCCTGCGCTACCCATCGGTCGTTGAAAGTAGGTATTTTTGGATCGGAGGTTGATACACCTCCTACCCTGACACGTCGATTAGCGAATTGGCCGTGTTCGGTTCGCGGGAGGGCGTCGCGGCCGTCATTTTTGCGGGTCCAGGTCCGTCGGTTTCGGTCCCAGGCCGTTTTCACTAAAGGGTGGGTTACTAAAGGGAGGTCTGTCCACCGCGGATTGGAGTCCCAGATTCCACTCTGCATTCAGCGCCTTCCTACTTCAACGATCGAGTGGCTTCACCTTTTCCGTCCTCTTTCGGGGGCGGGCGGACACTCAATCTATTTTCAGCGCTTTCCTGCTCCATGTTTCTGTATATATTTCCGGGCCGGGCGAAAGGGGGGGATTGGGAAAGGGGGGGTTACGAAATTTGCTGCATGCAGCTGGTTTCGGCCTCACCGAGGGGCCCATTCCTCGATACATAGCCGCCTCCGGCGCCGGGAGGCGCCGGGAACATCAGCTACGTGAGCTGATTCTCAAACCCCCCCTTTGCTATCCCCCCCTTTCGCCCGACCCGATATTTTTCTCCGATCGATGGGTACACGCTGACCACGTCCCCATTTCCGAGCGCCGGCGTCCCAAGCTCTTCCCAGCCTCCCGCCCCCCCCCGAAGCGGAGCCGCACGCTGCCAGCTCACGGGGCGCGGCGTGTCGCTGGGGCTCGGCGCCACAAGACGCCGAGCCACAGCCTCCTCCTCCTCCTCCTCCTCCTCCTCCTCCTCCTCCTCCTCATCGTCGCCCTCCTCGTCCTCCTCGTCGTCGCCCTCCTCGTCGTCGTCCTCCTCCTCCTCCCACTGTGTTGAGGGCACTGGATAAGGGATCCTTGGATGAGCCACGGGGCGCCGAGCCGCAACCTCCTGCACCACGCATGGCCTGCCGCTGGACAGTCACCGGGCAAGAGCCAGCCGCCGCACCGTGGCGTTCGGGGGCAGGGCCCGCTGCTCCCGCCCACGTCCCAGGCCGACGTTGTCCTCCCGCCTCCTCCCCCTCCTCCTCCTCCTCCTCCTCCTCCTCCTCCTCCTCCTCCTCCTCCTCCTCCTCCTCCTCCTCCTCCTCCTCCTCCTCTTCCTCCCCCCTCCTCCCTCCTCTCCTCCTCCGAGCCTCCTCCTCCTCCTCCTCCTCGCCGCCTGGCCTCCCGCCGCTCGGAGGGGCAAAGACGCCACGGGAAGGACACGCGGCAGGCTTCCCAGGGCGTCCCCGGATGTCCCAGTGTTCCACGCTCGGTGGGGGCAAAGGTGCCCGTATCGCTGCCCTGCCTTGGTGTTTCCCTCTTTGGGCCTCCCGGGGGAACACCGCGGTGGAGATCCGGGGAGAGCCGGCCCGCGCGGGGCCTGAGCTTCAACAGTCCTTCTCGGGATAGAGCTTTCAGGAGAAAGCTTCTGAGCGCCAAGTGTCTGAACCAAGATGTTCCACGAGAGCGCTGCTGGCGGGTGCCGCGGAGAACAGAATAGTTTGTTTACCCCCTACTGGTGGGACACCAATCCGTCCATAAGGCCGCCGGAAAAATAACTAATTACACGTCATTGGGAAGGGGGAGGTTCTAAAGACCTCGGGTTATCTCTTCGTCTCATCACACACGGGCTGCGGAGGCGAGGGCCGCCAGATGCTCCCTGTGGAGAGCCTGGAGCGCTGCCCAAGCCAGTCCTGTCGTGGCGTCGTTTTCCCGTCCCGGCTGCTGCTCCGGCGTCTCCCCGCTATCGGCCCTCAGGCAGCGCACAAGGGGGGTGGGGTCGTCGGGCATGCGTTTATCTGGTTAACCCAAAAGGGGGTCCAGCGAAAAGGGGGTAGTGCAATAGATTTGTGGGGGTGCAATAATATTTGGGGTATGCAATACATTCTGGGGCGCAGATGCATTGCTGGATTTTCGCGTGCAATGCATCAGCTGCAATACAATACAATACAATACAATACACTACACTACACTACAACTCTCTGGCGCAATTCACTTGCCATACTAATCTCCCACATCTATCGCACCACCCCCTTTCAACTGGATCCCCTGTCGGCCCAACCCAAGTTCAAAATTCGCATGTACTCTGGCGAGCGCTCGCGCGGGACACCATTCTTTCTCGTCCACGACATTGTGTAATACAAACACATGATGTGTACTTTGAAGCTCATGTTTCATGTGTATATATATAGTTCAAGTGCAGCTTGTTTGTAAAACAAACCTGTAGGGGGGGGGAATGCGCCTTAGAAGCACTCATGCTTGCTAGGAGGCGCGGGCCAGTGGATAGATGTAGGGCCGGCGCCTTCTAAGAAACAGCCCCTTGGGGCTCAAGAGACGCGGGTCAATGCAAATGGGGGTCATACAGAGAGCCGGATGTTTCAGGGTCCTGCGGCATCCTGGCAGGACCCGCGCTTGGGCGAGGGATCCTGCAGGACCTTGCAGGATCCTGCAAGGCCCGACTGGCCCGGGTCTGGATTGAACCGCGTCAGTCGATCCCCGAGCCTCCTTCTAAGAAGCCTTCCCCGCACACGGGCTGCAGAAGCGAGGTCCGCCAGATTCGGCCACGCGCAGAGGGGGCACGGCAGGGGGAGGGGGGAAGGCGCTTTGGAAGCACCCCTGCCTCTTAGGAGGCGCGGGCCCCGTCTTCTGATGCAGGGCCAGCGCCTTCCAAAACGCAGCCTCCCTCTGAGAAGCCTCGCCCCCCCTACCCCCTCGTGCGCACCGCCAACCTTTGCAGCTCCCTCGCCCCTTTGCCTCTCCACGGGCGGGCATCGGACGGGGCCGGGACAAGGCGAAAAGCTGTTCCAGAGCGCGCCTGAACGCTCCGAGAAGGCCGCGACGCCCGATGCATCCCCCAGAGCCGCCCGATCTCAGAGATTCTCGATTGCGAAGGCCTTACGGCCGGTGCCGCCGACCCTGAATGGCGACGACGACGACAACGACGACGACGACGACGACGACGATTTGCCTTCGCCCGAACTTATCCATCCTGGCGTCGTCTAGTGCTTCCTCGCCCCTTCAGCCCCTCCGCGGGCGGGCGCGGTGGTCGCGGCGCCACAGGCGGGCGTTGGCGCCGTGGCGCCGAAGCTCGGCACCGCAGCGCCGTCGGCCACGAGCCCGGCCACCGAGCTGAGGAGGGGCCGCCCGCTTGGGGGAGGGACCGCTGCCGGCCTGCCTCCGCCCTGCGTTCTGCGTGCGTCGCCTCCTGGCCTGCCTCCTCCTCCTCCCCCTCCTCCTCCTCCTCCTCCTTCTCCTTCTCCTCCTCCTCCTCCTCCTCCTCCTCCTCCTCCTCCTCCTCCTCCTCCTCCTCCTCCTCCTCCCCCTCCTCCTCCTCCTCCTCCTCCTCCTCCCCCTCCTCCTCCTCCTCTTCCTCCTCCTCCTCCTCTTCCTCCTCCCTCCTCCCCTCCTCCGCCTCCTCCTCCTCCTCCCCCTCCTCCTCCTCCTCCTCCTCCTCCTCCTCCTGCTCCTCCTCCTCCTCCCCCTCCTCCTCCTCCTCCTCCAGAGGCCGCCAAAAGGACCCAAGGAGCCCCTGCAAAGTATTCGCGAGGTCCTCCAGAAGCTCGCCTCGGAGGAGCCAAACCTGAGTCGCGGGGCAATTCAGGCGAGGACGGGAAAGAAGAAGAGGAAGAGGGAGAGGGAAGGAGAAGGAACGACAACATGATAACGGTGGTGGCGAAAATTGCAACCAAGGGCGATCTCTGTTTTGATTGCCGACATGGCATATCTCTCATTATGCCTGCTCGTGAGACGTGAAGGATCAAGATGCATGGCGCGAAGCGCCACTGCAGTCTTACATATAGTGGGTCTTGGATCTGTTCGGCCTCTTTCCCGCCTTCACTTACACTGACTCCTCAACTTCCGTCTTGTTAGTAGTATTTCCATTTTGTTGGTTGGTTTGGGGTGAAGGTTTTTCGTCGAGCGAACCGCGCTCCTTGCCCCCTGCTGTCAGACCGCGCACTTGACCCGTGTCATCACTATCGCCATCTTATTTGCCTCCGTTTCGGTTTGGCCCCCCCCCCCGTTCCCTTCACGCGCGCGTTACCTACACTCATGCCCCTGCGCCCATCCGCCCGCGCACTTGCCAACACCACCCCTGCACTTGAAACAGTACAGTGTGTTGTCTCTCATGTGCTTCGTCATGCTCTACCTTTGGAAGTGCTCGAGGGTGCTGTCTGCATGTCTCGTATATCATACAGCATGCTGGGGTTTTGCCAGCTGGACTCCTCTCAACATTGAAAGCTTATCGCGACGATCATTGCGGAGCTCTTGCAATGAATGGTCAGTGTATACCGTGTGCTGCTCGTCTTGTATTACCTCGTTTTCCCGCTCGCCCTGAGAAGGACATGAAAACTTGCCCAGTCGACCAAATGCTCCGCTTCTAGAGTGTGCGCAACGAGCCTCTATCCCTACAGGGCTGCCGCCTCCATTCTCCGTGAGTTTCCATGTTTATACTGGGCACCACACTAGTAATCGTGCGCACCCAGTCGCCGAGCCATGTCAACATGTCGTTGTCAGCACTGCCGCTTGGGACGACCCACGCTGCAAGCTCCTCACCGAGGGGGGTGTCTGGGGCCAGCTACGGTAGGTTCATGCGGTGATGGCGCGCTGGCGACGCTGGCGAAGGTGTTCAAGGTTAAATTCTGCACGAGAGAGCGAGGCGGAATCACTGAGGGACACGGCGACGCCACAGGGACCGACGGGATTCAGCTTTGAATGATCGGGGCGCCGCGATCGATTCAAGATTGAACGATCGACGCGGTGTCAAAGACCTTTGCGCGCGCTGACGCCGCACGAACCTAGAGCCTGTTTCTTAATTGCGTGGGCCACAATGCTGGTTATGGCCCCCCCGCTCCACCCCCCCCATAACGTAACGCTCCGGCCCCCAGTGCGCCCCTGGCGCTTCCGCCGCGCGCACGGCGAGGGGGTGGGGCGTTACGTTATGCCCCCCTCCGTTACCGCCCGTAACGCCTCGAATGCCCGTCACGAAGCCCCAGCAACACCCGATGCAACGCCCGTTATCGCCGCCACGAACAAAGACACGCGCTCCTACCGCAGACGCATTCGATAGGCCAGAAGAGGCTTGCGCCTCGCGCGCCGTGGCCTGGGCTGCCGTGCGGGCGCTCTCTCCCGGGCGAGCGGCGCGGGGACACGAGGAGCACCGCGGGGCGCTCTTCGTGAAGCACGGCGACGACGACGACGACGACGAGTTCGGTGGCCTAGAGTCCACCCAGCGCCATATTCCGTTCGGGGCTAGACCTTGCGGGGGGACTGGGGGCCGTGACCGCCCCAACCACCTACACGCCGGTCGCTGAGAGGAGGTACTTAGGAGATCCGGGTCCCAATCTTCACCGCCCACCAAACCACCCCAACCCAACCCGAAGGCCCCGATCTGCCCTCCATTTCCAGTGGGGGAGGGTCGGGGAACATGGGAAAAACACATATGAAGCCCGCACCTCTCCCCAACCCGGAATTCGGGTCTTCGGGTTGGGTTGGGGTGGTCTGGTAGGTAGGTCAATCTACTTTCGGCGCCTTCCTGCTTTAAGGGCCGAGCGGTGTTCTTCTCCATTTTTCTTTAGGGGGTGGGCGGAAGCCAAATCTACTTCCAAGGACTTCCTACTTCATGGTTCGACCTACTTCACCTGACCGACGGGTAGTGGTTCGTGAAGTTCGGTGGCCTAGATCCCACCCAGCGCCATATTCCCTTCAGGCCTAGACCTCACGGGGGGCGGGGGGCCCTATTCGCCCCAACCAACTACCTGCATTAGGAGCCCCCATCCCAGCTCGTGTTTCAAAGCTTTGCATGGATGCTTCGGCGCAGCTTGTCAGGCAGATAGCGCTGTTCATCGCGAAGTGGAAGCTCGACGCCACGAAGGATAGTTGTGCATACTTTCGACTTGACTTTGATAGTCCTCGCTCGCCTCTCAGCATCAGCAGGGGCAGTTGTTCCATATCTGAATGGGCGCCAGTGATCCCGTAGCAGTTTTGCCATGGCGGGCTCAGCGTTCTTGCCAATCCTCTGCTGGGGCCAGATATCCAGTTGCGCTACCGCGTGCACCTGCCATCGCATCGGCGGAAGCAGATGCTGCGCCATGGCATTGTTACATGCTTGTGCCGCTGCGAGTCTATTGCTTGTATCTTTTTGCTGCATCGCCGATCCTTTCCCTCCTCGCCTTCCTGTTGGTATTCATGTTCGCGCCGTTCCCAGGTCTCCTCTCACAAGCATTTGCCGCTTTGATCCTCTTGAAACGTCTTGTCGCCTTCGTTCCAGTAATCGTTTCCCCTTCTCCTGTTGGTTCTGCTGCTGCTCCTCATCTCTGTCCCCCGCGCCTCCCCTGCCCCTCCCTCCCTCCCGAATTTCCTGACGCTGCTGGTTCCAGGCTCTTGTCGGCCGTATGATGGTCGGTCAGACGAAGCCACTCCCCCAGGGCCCAGGGCTGGTCGGCCCTGGGGGTGTGATCAAACCAAGGCCGGGCGGCTATCGGAGCACCGCACCAGGAGCCGCCAGTTGGCGCGGAGACAGTCAAACAGCAGAAGTGACAGACAGACATACGAGGAGAGACAGAGGAGCGAACCACAGGGGTCGAGTCGAGGACCACCATAACATGAAGAGGAGAGAGACGAGTGGGGGATGCTGGCGGCAGAGACTGTGACGTTGCGCGTGACAGAAGTTGGGCAATACGGCTGCTGATAGAGGACTGACACGCTGCATGTGAGGCGAGTTGGTAGATGCTGGTTGGTTGGTAGCCTCTCCATGCGGCAGTCGCCTGCAAGGGCGTGCAAGGGAGCACAGCGTTGGTGAGAAGCGAGGGGGGACATCAGATCAGAATGGGGAAGGAATGGGAGGACTGGCTTGTGGCGGTAGCTCTGGACAGATGCGGTGGCGACAGATGTTGTATCCCCCCCGCCCAAATTGATAAAAGTCCCCCTCCCCCCCCGTCATGTGTGCGGCAGTAGCCCTGATGATCGCGAGAGAGTGCTCTCCTGTATGAGCTGTCGTGCCTGGTGGCGAGCCCATCCCTGCTGGTGAGCCTGGGTAGCCCTGGTGGCTGGCTTCGATCGTGCAAGGGGAGGGGGAGGTAGGAGGAGGCATCACAACATGATGAAGGGGGGGATCCGAGGCGGCAGCGTGGCAGGTGGCTCTTGCCTGTGGCGGCCTGTTGCCTTGTAGTGCCTGCCCAGACAGCCAGACCCACGAGCAGCGGCAGCCCTGGCGGTGAGACCTTAGAGGGTTGTTGACAGCAAGGGTCTGTTGTGCGGTAGCCCTGATGGTGAGATGTGCTCTCCAGTAGGAGCTGTCATGCCCTGGTGGCGATCTCAGCCCTGATGGTGAGCATGGGTAGCCGTGGTGGTAAGAGGCGACGGCTTAGGGGTAAGGGAAAAGTAAAGAAGACAAAACATAGGAAACCTGGCGGTGCTACATGAGGTTAGCTTTAGTAAGGAGGTGACAGCTGTTGGCAGTGGGCGGCGGCGGTCCCTACCCACGCTTCTCACTTGCTCCCTGCCCTGTCCTACGTCTCCCCGACTGGGGGAGGCGGAGGGCTAGATCCACACGGCGCTGCACCGGTCCGGCGACGACTCTTGTGCACCCTACCGCGCTGGCGTCTTCCGAGATGTCGCCGGCTCTCGACCCAGGAGTGGTACACGGTGTACAGTTGTTCGGCCCCCAGAGCCGAAGGACTCTAGGCACCGGACCGCGCTGGGGCGGGACCTGAACGGAGTGCAGCCATGGTGCGTTGCAGGTTGCGATGCTTCACACTTCCGCGGAGGCCTGCGGACTCGTGCACAGGCGCGCTGGGCGGCTGCAGGACGAGACCGCACCTCGGTGGCGTGGTTCCACCAGGCCGCGCGCCTCGGCGAGGAGCTGCGCGTCGTCGGCATGCCCTGGAGGCACGCCCACGCGCGCATCTCCGCGCAGCTCCGCGCCCGCATCTTCGGCCAACGCGGGCCCTGCAGGGCACCCACGCATGCATCTTTGCGCAGCTCCGCTCCTGCGTCTCTGGCGCCCGCGGCCCCCGCTGCCACTGTCGAGGGCGCGCCTCCCGTGGTGGAGGTGGCCACCCCCGTCGTCGGCGGGGGCTTCGGCCGCGCTGCGGCGGGCACCCTCTGCGCGATGCTGCACCACGGCTTGCGGCGGGTGCGGGGCTGCACGCGCTGGGAGACCGCGGCGGCTGGTGCGCGTGTTCCGCGGCGGTACAGCCCGAGGCGGCCGGGCAGCCCGCCCTTCCTTCGTGGACTTGCGTCGCAGAGAGCCGCACCAAGCGCAGATGGGGTTGCTCCACCTCTTCCTCCTCCTCCTACTCCTCATCCTCCTCCTCCTTCCGTAACCATGTTGGCTCAAGGCCAAACTTGTGTCCATTCCACTGCTTCAGCGGGGTAGACTCCCACAGTCACCAGAAGATTCGGCATCCTCTTCCATATCCCGCCCGAGCAAGGGCACTACATATTCTCAGTCCAGTCTTGCGAGGTGCGTTGCAGGCGCTCGCTCCGTGGTCTTCCTGAGTGCGTTGAGGCAGATCCTGTACCTCGCTCTCGCGCCGTTCCTCTTCGTCCGCCCACCGTCCCCTACTACAACACGGCTTGTTGGGTCAGGATTGGAACGATCACCTGGAGGCAGAATACGAGATCCTCACATCACAAAGGTACCATGGCAGCCTCCGACAGCAGCATGTCCCATTCATCAGACGGCCCTCATTCTCGCCCCCGTGATCGTCGAAGACAAGACAATAGTCAGTCCACAAGCAGGAGTGGAGGCGAACGAAGTGGCTCGAACAGAAGACAAAAGGCACATAAGACATCGATGTCGCAGAGACAAGGACAGACATGCTGATCGTGATGAACGAGAACGTGAACGGAACCGACATGATGACAGGCAAGATCTACAGCGAGCTACTACCCGAACAAATGGACTTTCGGCTGCTCGCACGGACGCTGTCAGTGAAGGAAACCCATGGCAGGCGGCAGCAGCTGCCTCCACGCATCAACGACACGCAGGTGCAAGTGAAGGCCCCTCTCTCCGCGAGCAAGGCAACAAGTGGCGCGTGAGCTGGAACTTTTTTTTGTTCGACGTTTCCTGGTGAATGTGCGGCTACTGCTGGGGGTGCCACACCGATTGGAGGTCTACGTACGCCCAGGGATGCTGCCCCCCTCCCCCTCGTGCTTACTTTATCAGATGTGGAACAACAATTGGCAGAGATGGGGCAACCTCAGATCGCGCAAGCGACGGCTCAACTCATGGGCACGGCAAACTCGCTTATTGTCCAACAGCAGCCGGCCTTCACTGCGCAAGTGCACAAATTCTTCGCAGTCAGCAAGCAGAGCGCAGCGCAGCTCGAGTTGCACGAGAAAAGTATATATGACCTTAATTCCAGAGCAGGCAAGGTAGAATCTGACCAACAACGCATGCGTGAGCAAGTACAAGCTATGGAGAAACGCTCGCGGTGCCCAGCGGATCGCGGAGCGGGATAGAGCGCCAGATCCAACGGTTTTCAGCCTTGGTGCCCCACGTGCAATGGCGCCCGCTGCCGTCAATGCCGCCCTCTCGGAATGAATTACGGCTTCTGGCGTTCCCACTGATCAGCTGGTTCTTCATGGGGACGTTCCACAACGGAGGTTTCACCTACAAGTGCAAGGGCGAGCTGCAGCCCCAGCCGGGGCGGTGGCACCATCTCGCGCGCTCAGGGCCCCCGCTGGTTTCATAATATTCAGCGGTTTCGACGCCGACGGGGTCAACGCGCCAATTTACGTCAGCCCCGACAAGAGTCATAAGCGAATGAGATTGGATTTGCAAACCAAGCGGCTTCGACGCAGTATCCAGGATGCTCATGCTGGACACCGAATTGGAGCGCAGAGAGCAAAGGGCACCAACGCCATCGGCGCAGTCCCGCTTGTCATGGTCGAAGTCCAGGGCCCTGAAGATCCATCCAGGTTGCGATGGGACTCGCCCATGCTCGCGCGCTTCCAGATCGACGAGCAACCGTTGGTCGCAGAATTTGGGCAGGCGTTCTCTTGTGCGGGTACGTCTACGTGATCTATTTAACGGGAGATGGTCGCCGTGGTCATCAGAACATGCTGGGCGAACTGGTACTACTGTTGCGAAGAAAAGCCGGGTTCAATAAACTTGTTTCGTTCATGCATGGGCGAGCAGTGATTTTGCTACAGGGGCGCCGTGGGGCGCTGCATAAGCTGACCACCGCCATTGCCACGTGCCAGTATCCATGCAAGATCTTTTACAACCATCTGTCTCAGAGAGCTGGTGGTACTGGGTTCTTGGTACCGTTAGATGCACGGGATCGTGGAAATTATCCTATTCAATTACATCGCCAGGTTCTTCATGCTTGGAGGGTGGCTATGCTCATTATTTCCAACGAACAGATCCACTTCGCCATGAAGCTGATGAGCAACGACAACTTTGAGATAGCGGGCTCACAGAACAAGATTCAGTGGAACCAACAGGATCCTACTCAGAAGGCTCATATTGCAGCTGGATGTTTCAACGTAAGATCTGGCCCTAGTCGCAGCTGCGTTGGCCCTGGCAATGAAGTCTTTGTTCCTGGCATTGTCCTTGGCACATGCAGTCGGGTTTCATAGTCACTTCAAAGCCACGGGGGGGCGTCTCTTCTCTCTGGCCACGGAGTTTACGACAGAGTACCCAACTCATTATTGCAGGGATACCGCCACTGCGGCAACCTTGGATATTTCCAATGGCATACCGTCTCAGTGTCTGCTCGATGGTGAGGTATGAAAAGAGGTGGGCGTGGATGCTGCAACCATCCCGGACTCCATCTTCAGCGACCGCGCGCCGATCTCATGATTGATGCCCGGCCGTGTCAGACGTGATCAACAGACAAGTATTCCAGAGCAGGTATTTCGCGACCCCTGCCATGGGGAAATTCTTGGCCACTTAACTAAAACAGCCCAGTTTGAGCGATTTTCTGCATTCTATCAATGGCGATGCATTGAGGGCTTCATGACGGAGGCGGCGCAGCAAGCACGCGATGAACTTCAACGCCTTCCGATCTCATCAAAGGACGCTCGTTCCGCGGCAGGCTGGCTCATCGCAATGCAGGCGGCTTCGCGTTGTTTGTGGCGCGACGACACCCCCGCGGCACACAAAGCGAAGTCCACCGCGTCCGATGGCGAACGCTGCGTTGACATCATCACTAGAGTTGTCGTGCTCTGCGAGAGGGAAGAGTTCACGCTCACCGCCCGCGCTGTCAACCGACGAGTTCGGACAGATGGAGGCGGAGGTGGACCTCCCCGTCTTCGCCGCGTGCGACATTGAGGCGGCGTCCCCGCCCTTGGTTTACCAGTGGTCATTGAAGATATTGGGTGGGATAGGACTTCCGACTGGGGTGCGGAATGTTATTCAAGCTTTGTTTTTCACGCCCATGGGTTTTGCACATATTCAAAACCCCGCTGTCTTCGTGTTTTTCATATTTGCTCGGGGGTGCTCCAAGGGTGCCCCTTTTTCAGGGCACCTGTGGGCCCTTGCCATGGGCCCAGTTCTAGGACATCTCTGCGCCGGCACGCATATCCCGAAGGAGAAGCATCACAAGGGCGCTCTGGGCGGGTGTGCGGGCGACGTCTGAATGGTTATGCCACGCCTTCGGGGCATGGTCGGAGTCTCGCAAGTGTTTTTGATCATCGAACGTTTCGCGTTTCGCAAACCTCTTGCGGCACAGTGTGCTCTGGTTCCACTGTGGACCGAATGCGCAGCCGAAATCCAAGCCACGGCCCGAAACGAACTCTGTTATTGGACTCCGCAATGGGAAATGTTCAGGATAGCGGGCAACACCACGCATCTTGTTGTCAGGATGGGACCCGCTGCCGCGCGAGGGAATGTCTGGGCAAGAGCTGCAGAGACGTGGTGGTCGAGGACAATTGCTCTCCCATTTTCAGGGGCTGCGCCGCGCGCCCTCCCTATTTTGTACGACGCCGCCGCTCTCACTGCCCGTCTCAGCCTCGCCGATCTGAATGCCCTCCCATCGCTGATCGCCATTGCCCCATCATCTGTCTCGCTGCTGGGGTGGGCCAGCAGCTGGCGCAGCTCATTCCGCATTGTGAATCATGATTGGCAGCGCGCGCTGCGCGACCTGTAAGAATGCGCGCAGGACAATGCGACGATCGTTCGTTTCATCGCAGGCAATTCCCTGCCCCCTGCTGGGAGCCCCCATTCTCGATTGTTCAATGTCCTGGGCGTGCGCGGCTTCCCCCTCCGCGGTGTCAGGGCTCCGAGGGATGGCGGCGAGCGTTCCGGGATGCGCACGAGCGCGCCACCCTTGCCCTGGGCGAGAATCGCCGCCCGCACCCACAACGCATTTTTGCTCGCTCTCTCCGTGTTCATATCTTCCCTGGCACCTTCCGTGCTACCTTCAGCAAACCGCTGTTAGCGCGGCAGGTCATTACTCCAGGGGGGCGGAGGTTGGTGGCGGGACGGTGGAACCATTGTAAGACCTGCCTTGCTAAAGCTCAAGCCTGCCTGGCAGTGGAGCATAATCAAGGCGCTCTGCGGTGGATGGACGACCACGCGCAGGCTGCACATAGGCAACCTAACTACCACAGGTGTTTTGGGTTGCCAGCAGAATGGTGAGATTACCAAACATTTAGGACGCCGTCGAATGCTCCATCACCTAGCCATGCACCCAGCATGGAAGAGGCGCCAATTTCTTGGTTCACCACTCGCGGTGCTTGGCTTGGGTTGGGATTCGGATTCCGAGTGCGAGGGTTCTGAACTCACGCGCGCAGAGTGCCTCCATGCGGTGGTTCTCGCCTATCCGATGTATCATAAGGCAGAGGACTTCGCGCATCGTTCACCGATGTCGCTGGCCAGGGCGTATGACATCCGAGGTGCCGCAGAGCTTGCCATGGAGCGTTAAATCGCTCCTCTCTCGTTCTTTTCCTTTCGCTTCGGGCGGGGTACGGGACTTGGTAGGGTGGGGGGTTGATCGAGGCACCTGATGCGTCGGCATGTTGCGGTCGAGGATTATCCCGCAGTGCCCTGTGCCTCTCGGCTCTCTCCCCGTCTTGAAGGGACAGGATCTCTTCTTCCAACCCTTTTCTGTCCTCGCCTGGGAGGCGATTGTTTTCGCATTTGGTTTGCTTCGAGCGCCATATGTTTGTGGGCCCTGCTGGTGGCGGAAGTGGCAAAGGCTAAGGGTTGCACCGCCCCTCGGGAGGCCGAACAAGAACCCAAGCGCCACCCAACAGGAACCCACTCTCCCTCCGTCGATGCTTTTGCGTCGATCGTCGAGGTCGAGGCAGGCCGTCGGACGGACCTTCTCGGGTGCGTCGTCTCCTCCTCCTCCTCCTCCTCCTTGTCCTGCTCCTCCCCCTCCTCCTCATCCTCCTCGTCCTCGTCGTCGTCGTCGTCCTCCTCCTCCTCCTCCCACTCCTCCTCGTCCTCGTCCTCCTCCTCCTCCTCCGCCTCCTCCTCCTCCTCTTCCCTCTCAGCTGCATTCTAGGCCCTCTATAGGCTACGTGGGCGCGGAGTGCAGGCGGCTGGGGTCGCTCCCCGTGCCTTCAGAAGCGGGCTCAAGGGCTTCTGGGTTGGGCCGGGGGGCTTGTGGGCCTCGCGAAGGGCGTCAATCCAGGCCTCACGCTGATGCACCTGGAGCGCCTGCGGCGCCAGGGTCCGTCAGGCACAGCTGGGCTGGCGAGCTGCTGCGACGGGCGGGGCCGCCTCGGCGGTGCTGAGCGCCGTGCTGCTGAGCGCGGAGCCCGGGCAAAGTGCGGTGCTCGAGCTGCCGAACCCGTGGAGCTGCGCCATGGAGCTGCCCCGTGAGTTCGGCGTCGGCGCCGCCTCGCCGCGCGAAGGCGGCCTGCCGCCCTCGGCGCGGGCGGTTCGGCTCCGCCCCGGCCGGGGGCCAGGGAAGGGGGGGGGCGCCTCGTGTGCACGCGTGCCCGTGGTGCCCAGAGCTGGTCGGGCAGTGGGCCCTTCACGAGGGCGCGCGAGGCCGCCGTGCTCTTTTGACGCACTTCTGGGGCCAGCAGGCCTGGGAGTACTTCGCCGCGTGGCCTGCCAGTGCTTGCCGAGCAGGGGGCGCCCGTGCAGCCCGGGAGTCGGTTGGGGTGCCAAGGTGGGGTCCGTGCGCCTCGCAGGGCACGCCCTGGCGCTGCCGTGCGATGGGCTGGCCCGCCGAGGTCTCGCCTCGTGCCCGCCCGCGGACGCCTCGAACACTGGGTGGGTCCGCCGGGGGTTCGCCGGCGCCCGCCCGTTGTGGGCGCACTGGGCCCTTGAGGAGTAGGCTCCACGGCGGGAGGCAGAACCCACAGCTCTTCGGACCTCCTCCCTCTTCTCCTCCTCAACCTCCTCCTCCTCCTCCTCCTCCTCCTCCTCCTCCTCCTCCTCCTCCTCTCGTTTGCTTGCTCTCGCCGCCCTCCTCGTGCCCACCCCCCTCCCCCTCACCCCTATCCCCCTCCACCCCTCCTTCCTCCTCCTCCTGCTCCTCCTCCTGCTCCTCCTCCTGCTCCTCCTCCTCCTCCTGCTCCTCCTCCTCCTCCTGCTCCTCCTGCTGCTTCTCCTCCTCCTCCTCCTCTCCTCCTATCCTCCTCCTCCTCCTCCTCCTCCTCCTCCTTTTCCTCTTCTTTTTCTTCATCATCTTCCTTCTCTTCCTCCTCCTTCTCCTCGTCCTCCTTCTCCTCCTCATCCTCATCCTCATCCTCATCCTCTCCCTCCCTCCCTCATTCTCTGCCTCCGACGACAACGACCGACTGCGGGGGCGGCGGCGACGGCCGCGCCCGTGGGAGGCCAAGCTGCTGCTGGCCCGGCTGACGCCCCCCCGGCGGAAGTGGGCGATTTGGGGGCCTGAAGGTCGAGTGTCGAGTAGGGTATCGACTACAGTCGAGCATCTGATTAACGAACCAATGAGCCTTCTCCCGGCACGCTGGGCCAGCGTTTCTGAACTAACTCGCCGGAAAGTTGGCCCAGTTTCTCGAGCGCGTGCTCTCTTCAACGTCCACAACAGAATTTGGCCCAGGCTTGTTTTAAGGATCTTTCGGGAAGCTGGCACTATTATGTTCTGGGCCAACATGTTTGCACGTATGGATTACCCCAGAATCGGTGTTCGTCGAATCTGCGGAACATATGTAGAATGGTTTGCAGATCTACGTAACATGTTTCATACGTTTGCCAGTTCGGGGGCAAGTCAAGTGTGTAGTCGATCCCTTACTTCAGGCTCCTCCGCGCTCTGTTTGTCACTTGTTCTCGCCGCTGGGCTCATTCTGGATGGTAAACAGCACATGTGGTCGATCCCCTGCTCGATAAAGGGCACGCCGGTCCCGAGGTTGTGCAGTCGAGCTTCCGTTTAAGAAACCTCCTCCCGAAAAGCTACGCCATGGTTTTGTTGACCAACTTGCCAGACATCGGATGAGAAAACAACGCGATAAACATACAAGTGTGACGCTCCGCGCGGCTTTCTTGGATCCGCGCTGGGCTTTTCCAGCGGCGCCTCCGGCGCCGCCCCTGGCGCGCTCCGCGCGCCAGGGAGGGGGGTCCGCGCGGTATGCTTCTTTCGTGGTCTTGAGTAGACTTGTATAAGACGCAGGTCGGGACAGCGGCGGAGTGCGTGACCAGGAGCGTCGCTCCAGCCTGGGGCCCTTCTGGCAACCGATGTAGCTATGCTTTTGTTTGTTCTCCCGCTCCTGGGGCACAGCGGGCCCCGAGGTGTCCCACTGATTTGCAGGGAGGCCCCCGGCGGCCTCCACGCCCTCCACAGAAGGAGAGGAGGAGGAGAAAGGGAGGAGGAGGAGGAGGAGGAGGAGGAGGCGGAGGAGAAAGGGAGGAGGAGGAGGAGGAGGAGGAGGAGGGGGGAGGGGGAGGGAGGGGAGGGGAGGGGGGAGGGGAGGGGGAGGGGGAGGGGGGAGGGGGAGGAGGAGGAGGAAGGAGGAGGAGGAGGAGGAGGAGGAGGAGAAGGAGGAGGGGGAGGAGGAGCAGGACCAGTGTAAATCCAAGAGGCTTCAACGATATTGGAGGAAACCCTCCCTCTAAGCTCCCTTCATAGGCCTCTACAGCGATTCATTTTTACAGAGGGAGCTTCCTCGATGGAAGACATCTGGTTGAAGTTCCTGAAGCATTCAAAAACATTGTTCTCGGGTTTTCGGCGCCACGGATCAACCTGACTGTTGCATCTTGACGGTCCTGGATCGTGCCAGAACGCCGTTCCTGGGATTTGAACAACACGAATCAACAACACTTGTGCACCCCCATAAGCCTGAATCCTTCCAAAACGCAATTTCTGGTACGTTGACCATGGGAATGCGTGACATCCTTGCAGATGTTTAAGACGAGTGTGCGCGGCGCTGAGTCGAGAGCCACATTTTGAAAAGGATCCGCCCTCAGCCCGCGAAACTCTCGCATTTTGTTTAGACGAGTGTGCGCGGCGCTAGGAGGAGAGCCACATTTTGAAAAGGAGCCGCCCTCAATCCGTGAAATTCTTGCAAACTTGTTAGACGAGTGTGCGCGGCGCTGAGGCGACAGCCACATTTTGACAATGAACCGCCCTCAATCCGTGAATCTCTTGCATTGTTTCAAAGTCGTGTGCGCGCGGCGCTAAGGCGAGAGCCACATTTTGAAAACGGCTCGCCCCCATTCCGTGAAGCTCTTGCAAATGTTTGAAACGAGTGTGCGCGGCGCTGAGGCGAGATCCACATTTTGAAAACGACTCGCCCTCCATCTGTGAAGCCGTTGTCAATGTCCGAGCTTCCGAGTCATGAATGGTGAGGAAGTCTCAGGCGAAACACCCAGCCCGCCGGAACAACTGGCCCCGGGGTGCGGCAGCGAGAAGTTGTTCCTAAGGAAAAGGAGCGGACGAGGAGGAGGAGGAAGAGGAGGAGGACGAGGAGGAGGAGGAGGGGGAGGAGGAAAAGAAAGAGAAGGAGGAGGAGCCACAGAATTGGCAGATAATGATCTCCTTATACCTGATCTTAACTGCCTCGATACGCCCGCCTTGATACGCAGCACGTGCTCTGCTCTAAACATGTCCGTGCCAGTGCGGTGCGTGTTGGTTCCGCGTATCGCGTCATACCTACGTTTTCAGTGTACCCGTCGGTCATTGAAAGTAGGTACTCTTGGATTCCCGCATTCCAATCTGCTTTAAGCGCCTTTCTACTTCAACGGTCGAGTGGCTTCACATGTTCCGTCCTCCTTAGGGGGTGGACGGAACCCAATCTCTTTTCAGCGCCTTCCTACTTCATGCGTCTACCCACTTCTTCCGACCGGCTGGTACGCCACATGTTGCGTTTTGCGCATCGGGCCGGCTACGTGCCCGACTATAAACGGCAGGTCCGTGCCGTGGCGCTTCGGCGGCGGCCCTGGCGCGGGCGTGCAAGGCTGAGCACCGCCAGTGTCAAGTCGGTCGTGTCCCTCTACAGGAGGAGTGTTCAAGAATAGTAAACCATAGTCAGGGGACTTTTTTTGTCTCGACTATTTTTGACTAGTTTGGGTTATGTGTTTGGATTTTGTTTCAAGTTCGCCCAGAACCCGCCTGTAGGAGGACGTGCCCGACTAACGCCAGCTGGAACGATCTGCGCTCGGGGATCAAGAGACGAGGGTCAATGCTAAAGCGGGTCATCCAGGGCGCCAGGTCTTCGAAGGATCTTGCAGGGTCAGGGCTGCACTGACCCATGCTTTTCCGTGCGGGATCCTGCAGGATCTTGCGGGGTCCTGCAAAGCCCGACCGACTCTGGCTTGGATTGGCCCGGGTCTGTAAATCCTCGATGCTTCACAGGAGCGCCGCGACCGATCCGCGCGGCGCCAGGGGCAAGCGCGAGCGAAGTCACGGCACGAACCCGCCGTAGACCCATCTGGATTGTTCCATCATCGAGCATAAAAGAATTCCCAATCCTGATACCACGATGAAGACGCGGCCTAACTGATGTCCCCGCCCCCGAAATACAGATCATAGATCTAGGCGGTTTGGTGTGCTACGTCTGCAGGAATGACCACCTATCCCTGATTTATTTGGCCATCCACAGTTCCCCTCCCAAAGGGTTAGGGGTTCTTTGTTGGTTTATCATTCCATGCATAGAGAAGGAGGAGGAGGAAGAGGATGAGAAGGAGGGGAAAGAGGAGGAGCTTATTCCTCCTCCTCCTCCTTCGATGCGGCTCGATGTGGACCCCGATCTGCTTCACGTGGACGTCGCCGATGCATCGCTCACGTCGACGATGCATCCCCGATGCATCGCCGATGTATCGGCGATGCGGCGCGATCCTCCGACCCCATCTACTCCGAACACATCTAGGAGGCCTCAATTTTCATGTACTTCTTTCATCCCGTGTCGTCTTTTGCTCGGCTGAAGGCCCGATTCCAGTTTCTGCGAGCCCAAAGTGACAACGAGCTAGCCGCCTTGATGTCGGGCCTCTGTCGGCGGGAAGGTGACGTGGGGAAAGACACGTTGTGTGAGGACACGTGCGCCTTTCAAGCTATTTTTGGAGCCAGGGTGGCCTTGGCAAGAGCCAGTTTTTTACCCACCCGCGGTAACGGCCGTTACTGGGGAGGGGGTGGGGGGAAGGGGGGGCTGGTAACGTCACAATTCGCGCTAGGGCCGTCCAGTAATTAGCTATACCCTTGTATCCCACACGGCGCCGGCGCGAGTCGGACCGTTAATCACCAGGGGACGGGGAGGGAGCGGGGAGGGATGTGGCCTTGGTAACGGTCGTGACGGTGGGGGCCTTCGTCAAGAAATATGCCCAGGAGGCTTCAGGCCCTGTAGGGTTCTTTATCTGATGAGGGCGGAGGTGATATCCGTGGCCAAGCCCCATTTGGTGTTCCACCCGTTTCCGCACCTTGGATTCTTTATCCAGGGGTTACTGATTCAACAAGACAAGTTTTCGAAAACCTTTCGTTCTCCATGAGGTAATGGCGCAGTACTCGGGGGCGCAGACGCTGGAGGCGTACATCCAGCAGTGCGACAAGACCAACGCGTGGGCTCGCGCCGCTCTTCTCGCCATCGTCTTCGTCGTCGTCTCGTCGTCGTCGTCGGCGTCGGCGTCGGCGTCGGCGTCGTCGTGGTTGACGTCGTCGTCGTTTTCCTCGCTGTCATCGTCGTCCGTCGCCGTCGCCGTCGTCGTCGCCGTTGTCGTCCCCCCCGTCGTCGTCGTCGTCGTCGTCGTCGTCGTCGTCGTCGTCGTCGTCGTCGTCGTCGTCGTCTTCGTCGTCGTCGTCGTCGTCGTCGTCGTTGTGGTCGTCATGGTCGTCGTCGTCGTCGTTGTGGTCGTCATGGTCGTCGTCGTAGTTTCGGCTCAAGGCCTGTGGGCCGCGATGTGGGTGGGCCGCGATGTGGGACTAGCGCGCGGCGGCGGCTCGCGAATGGGACGCGCACCGCCGCTCGCAACGCCATTGGCCGGCGGCGCGCTCGTCTGCTCTCGGACTGGCCACGCCGCGGCAGCGCGAGGCTGGAGGCGAAGCTGGCGGAGAGCGCAAGCCTGCTGAGGAACCACCGCCGCTTCGATGTGCCGAAAAAAGGAACCGGCCACGGAAGAGTGGCCCACGCAGGAGGCACAGGCAAGGCAAGGCGGGCACGTGCACGTATTGCAAGGCCTGCTTGGACTGGGCGTGGGACGACATCCTGTTCGACAGCGGCGGCTACTGCAGTTGCGGGGCCTTCGTCATGGTCGACACGGCGCCGCCGTGGGCTGGATGGGGCCCGCGGAGGCTACGGTTCCCGACGCCGCGGGTGGAGCCGCGGGGGCAAGCCGACAGGGGAGCAGGCGGACCATCCGGTGGTGCTGCCATCAGGGGAATTGCAGGAGGCATTGGGAACAAAAAGTGACCATGTGCATGCCCTGGAGAAACTGTGCGAGCTGGCGCGGCCCGAAACGCAGCCGTCGCCCGAAGTAGTTGCGAAGACGGGTGCGTTCGCCAAGTTCACGTCCGTCCGAGGCAAGGCGACGCAGCAGTGCCGGGCGCTCGTGGCTTAGGAGACCAAGGTGAGGCAGGCTCGGCAGCGCCTGTACGACGTGGAGGCAGAGCTGGACGCGGCGGCGGACGCCTACGCGGTCACGAAGGAGGGGCTCAAGTCGGCAAGCGCCGCCTACATACAGGAATCCAGCGCGGCGGCGGGAACCGCAGCCTGAGAAGGGGGCCAAGGCGGCGGCGGCCGAGAAGTTCCTGGGCTTCGACGTGCCAGAGGACCTGCTGTTGGAACCCGCTTCGAGGTCGATGGCGAGGAGACTTATGCGGACTGCACCAGTCCAGGCAGGAACTGCAGCGGTACCAGGCCGAGGGCAAGAGCCCGCCACGCCAAAGCGCGCAGGGCCGAAGCGGGGAAGGCGCGCGCGCTGCTGTTCGAACAAGCGGAGCGGAAGGCCGCGGAACTGCAGAAGATCGGGCAAGCCCGTGCCAGGGCAAGAGGGGCTTCAAAAAGAGGAAGGTGCAAGCTGGAGGAGATGGGGGCCCACAGCGGCAGCAGCGGCAGTGTCGCAGGCCGTCAAGCTGGAGGGCAACGACAAGGACCGCAAGGGAAGCAAGGGCGGGGCCGCGGGGCCTGGGCGCGGTGGGCTATTTTGTACCTAGCAGCTTTTGCTGATAGGTTTCTAGTGGGATCGAAGACAGTATCTTGACGCCCCAGGGGGATCTGGGCGGGATCCGGACAAGGAACCGGACAAAAGTGCAGCCCCAGGAATCCGTAAGAATCGTTAGGAAGTCTTCGGAATTCTTTGGAATCTATTCCCAGAACACAACTCCCAGGCCACATTTTGAATGCCCGGAGCCTTCTGTAGGTCACTTCGTGTTCTTCGTGCTTCCAGAACACCATTCCCAGGCCACATTTTGAATGCCCGGGGCCAACTGTAGGCCACGTCGTGTTCTTTTCCTTCCCAGAACACCATTCCCAGGCCACATTTTGAAAGCCCAGAGCCAACTGTAGGCCACTTCGTGTTCCCAGAACACCACTCCCAGGCCACATTTTGAATGCCCGGAGCCAACTGTAGGCCACTTACTTCGTGTTCTTCGTGTTCCCAGAACACCGTTCCTGTACCATATTTTGATAGCCGGGAGCCAACTGTAGGCCACTTCGTGTTCGTCGTCTTCCCAGAACACCAGTCCTGTGCCACATTTTGAATGCCCTAGCTGAGGCAGGCTAAGGCTGAGGTAGGCTGAGGCCGAGGCAGGCTGAGGCTGAGGCTGAGGCACGCGGAGGCAGCCGAGGGAGGCTGAGGCTGAGGCTGAGGCAGGCTGAGACTGAGGCTGAGGCAGGCTGAGGCTGAGGCTGAGGCTGATGCAGGCGAAGCTGACGCCGAGGCCGAGGCAGGCTGAGGCTGAGGCTGAGGCCGAGGCAGACTGAGGCTGAGGCTGAGGCAAGCCGAGGCAGGCTGAGGCTGAGGCTGAAGCTGAGGCAGGCTGAGGCTGGGGCTGAGGCTGTAGCTGACGCTGAGGCAAGCTGCGGCTGAGGCAGGCTGAGGCTGAGGCCGATGCAGGCCGAGGGTGAGGCACTGAGGCTGAGGCAGAGGCCGCTGGCTGAGGCTGAGGCCGAGGGGCTGAGGCTGAGGCTGCCTGAGGGCCCTGAGGAGGCAGGCTGAGGCCGAGGCAGGCTCAGGCCGAGACAGGCTGAGGCTGAGACTGAGGCTGAGGCTGAGGATGAGGCCGAGGCAGGCCGAAGCTGAGACAAGGTGAGGCTGAATGGGGGGGGGGGGGGGGAGGAGGGGAGGCTGAGGCAGGCTGAGGCCGAGGCAGGCTGAGGCCGAGGCAGGCTGAGGCTGAGGCTGAGGCAAGCCGAGGCAGGCTGAGGCTGAGGCTGTGGCTGAGGCTGAGGCTGAGGCAGGCTGAGGCTAAGGCTGACGCAGGCTGAGGCCGAGGCAGGCTGAGGCTGAGGCTGAGGCAGGCTGAGGCTGAGGCTGAGGCTGAAACTGAGACAGGCTGAGGCATCCGTCGGAATCCATAGGAACCCTGAGGAATCCCAAGGAACCCCTAGGAATCCGTAGGAATCCGTAGGCACCCTTAGGAATCCGTAGGCATCCTCAGGAATCCTTAGGAATCAATAGGATTCCATCGGAATCCTTAGGCATCCCCAGCAATCCCCAGGAATCAGGATTCCTAAGGATCCCGAAGGTTTCCTAAAGATGCCTATGGATTCCTAAGGATACCTAAGGATGCCTGAGGAATCCTTAGGAAGCCTTAGGATTCCATTGGATCCTAAGGCCGTTGCCACTGCGACTGACCTTGCGACTGCGAGAAGAGCAGAATTCTACAACTGGGTTCTCACTTCAATCTTAAGGGGAATGCTTCCAGATATGCTTATACACATCGCTGTTAGGTTGCTTTGCCGGGATAATTGAAATCTTCATGGGCCCGTCCGCGAGGGGACTTCGACGCCCACCGTGAGCGGCGCATTTCGACCCGATCGCGACGACGGTGAACGGCAAAGGGGATCTGTGCATCGTGCAGCTGGAGGAGCGGGGCCCGCCGGAGAGTCGACTGAGTCCGCACGTCGGAGTGTTGGAAGCACTTGGCGGCGGGCGAAAGCTGGGCCAACGCGGAGTCCTTGTGCTTGGTGGCCCCGCCCCGCAGGCCCGACCGCACCGTCGACGATGCGCGGTGCGACGCCAAGTTCGGCGCGCTTGGCCAGGGCCGCGGTTTCGGCAAGGACAAGGACAGCTGCCGCGGCAACCCCCAGGATCTTTGGGACATTCTGGCCGAGGTGAGCAGGCTGAGGCGGGGGGGCGGGCGCGCGGCCAGTGCGGCGCCCGCCCGGCAGGGGGGCGGCGAAGCTAAAGACGGCCGCGAAGCCCGGCGCGGCACCAGGGGCGGCAAGCTTTGCATGGGCGGCAGCATAGGCAAGCGCGGGATCGCGGAGCGCTCTCGCGCGATCCCAAGGGCGGCCCCTTCAATTTCGGCGTCGGTGAAGGGCGCTGCAACTGGCGCTGGGCGGCGGCGCGATCTCAGGGCGGCGCCAAATCCCGTGGAGGCCCTCGCCGCGGGGAACACCTCAGGTTCGATGGCGCCGCATGGGGCTGGGCCAATCCTGGGCGAGACCCCAGGGGGAACGCCATGGGTTCAAAGTCGCCGCGCGCTGCGCGCAGAAGAGGCGGCGACTGCGAGGGCGAGCTGGGCGCGCGGCCGCGGGGCGCGGGCGCCGCCCCAGCCGCTGCTGGCAGCCGCGGACAAGACCAGGTTCGCGGACCACTTTGGCAGTCGCGCAGGCAGGCGGGCCTCGACGTGGGCGCAGGCGATGCTGTTCGACCGAGGCCTCGCCACGATGGGCAGCTGCGGGAGGCGCAGGAGGGGGCGGGGGGCGTTGCGGCACCGCCACTTCGGCCGCGACGCGGCGCGCGTGGGACGCGCGCCCCAAGCAGATGGGGCCAGCGGCGAGGAGGGTTCTCGAGCAGAAGAGCTGGCGAGAGGTTTTCCAGGGGCTTTTTTTCAGAGGTTGCGCAGGGATGGGAGGCTCCGCGCGAGAGGCCAGGCCCGGGGGTGGCGAGCTGGGCCAAGCGGCCGCCGAACGGGCGCTTCCAGGGGAGGGTCTTCGCGGGCGGGTCCGCCCTTGACCCGCCGCGGGGGAGATCCTCGGGAGGGCAGGCTGGGCCGTCGCGCAGGGCAGCGAGCCAGGTGCCAGGGGCGGTGCGTGGCGCGGCCCCAACGGCACCGGGGCCGCTGCCGCTGGCGAGGGTCGGCGAGGACTACGCGTTCCACTCCCTCTCGAACTGCTCCGAGGCGGCGCTGGAAGCGTTCTGCGACTTGGGCTCGACCCGACAGGCAACTGACATTGGCGAGGCCCTGGCTTCGGCGCCGAGGGCGCGCCTGGCCCGGGGCGGGCGCGCGCGGCAGGGCGGCCAGAGGAGGTCGAGGGCCGGCTTGCCCCGTCCCGGGGTTTCTGCGTCAGGCGCGGGGCTGGCGGGGCGGGTCGGCATGCGGGGCGGCGCGCGCGCAGGGGCCTCAGCTCGGAGACCGCGCGCAGGGGCTGCCCGCCGTGAGGGGGCGAGCCTCGCCCC